AAGGGCTGTAGTCTTGAGGTCTTTTGAGTTAATAAGTGTCACCAGTGGCTTGTGGTCAGTGAGCAGCTTGTACTTCTCCAAACCACACAGGTACTGGTTTAAACGCTCTGAGGTCCACACTCCTGTGAGGCACTCCTTTTCGACCTGAGCATATCTCTTCTCAGCCTCAGTCAACGTGCGAGAACAATAGGCAACTGGCCGAAGTTTCCCGTCATGAACCTGCATGAGTGTTCCCCCCAACCCATAACTGCTGGCATCTGCGCTGACGACCGTAGGCTTTGTAGGATCGAAGATCTCCAGGGTGGGTGTTGATGTAATCAACCGTTTTACTCCAGCAAAGGCTTGTTCTTGTTGAGGTCCCCAACACCAGTCATGCTCTGACTTAAGAAGGTTCTTGAGGGGTTGTATAACTGTGGAGAGGTTTGGTAAGTAACGTCCAACGTAGTTAACCATCCCTAGCTGCCGTCTCAGACTACTGACGTCTTAGGGAGGTTCTATATTTATAATGGCTTTGACCCTCTCAGAACTTGGGGAGATGCTGTCTTTAGTTACCCTCTGTCCCAAGAAGTTAAGTTCAGACTGGTTGAATCAGCACTTGTCTTTATTGAGCCTTAATCCCGAAGCACTTATAGTGTCCATAACTTTTTTGAGTCTTTGGTCGTGTTCTTCTTGCATTTGTCCAAAAACCAAGATATCATCCATGTACACAACAGTTCCCTCGTGCCCCTGAAGCAATTCTGGCATCTTTCTTGGGAAGATTTTAGGTGCCGATGTGATGCCAAAGAGCAGCCTTTTAAAACAATATCTGCCCAATGAATGAATGTAGTCAGGCGGGCACTATTCTCCTCTAGGGAATTTGCCAAAACCCGCTCTCGGCATCCAAGCTGGAGAACACTGTGCTCTTAGCCAGTTTGGGAAGTATGTCATTTAAGGTGGGTAAAATGAACTTTTCTCGTTTCACATTTTCATTGAGTCATTTCAAGTCCACACAAATCCTTATTTTTCCATCCTTTTTCATCACAAGTACCATGTGAATAGTACAGTCCCCACTGACCACCCCTCCCCCTCCATTGCCATCTCAGTGAAAGAAAAGGATGTGCTTAGGGTTTTCCATATGCAAAACCCTCGGAAATCCCCGGGCCCGGACGGTGTCTCCCCCGCAACCCTGAGACACTGCGCAGAGGGACTGTCTCCAATCTTCACGGACATCTTTACCATCTCCTTGGAGACCTGCCATGTTCCAGCCTGCTTTAAGCTGTCCACCATTGTTCCTGTGCCTAAGAAACCCCATGTCACTGAACGGAATGATTATAGGCCTGTGGCGCTGACGGCTGTAGTCATGAAGTCTTTTGAGCGCCTGGTCCTCCCTCATCTCAAGTCTTTCACCTCCCCCCTCCTGGACCCTCTGCAGTTCGCATACAGAGCTAATAGGTCTGTAGACGACACCTTCAACCTGGCCCTCCACTTCATCCTGCAGCAACTGGACTCCCCGGGAACCTACGCTAGGATCCTGTTTGTGGACTTCAGCTCTGCGTTCAATACCATCCTCCCTGCTCCAGGACAAGCTCTCCATGCTCAACGTACCCAATTCAACCTGCAGGTGGATCTCTGACTTCCTGACGGACCGAAGGCAGTGCGTGCGGCTGGGGAAGAATGTTTCCACCATTCAGACAATTAGCACAGGATCCCCACAGGGCTGTGTACTGTCTCCTCTGCTCTTCTCCCTGTACACAAACTGCTGCACCTCGAGCCATGACTTCGTTAAACTGATCAAGTTTGCGGACGACACCACCCTCATCGGGCTCATCTCTGACGGTGATGAGTCCGCCTACAGGAGGGAGGTGGAACGGTTGGTGTACTGGTGCAGCAGCAACAATCTGGAGCTCAATGCTCAGAAGACAGTGGAGATGATTGTGGACTTCAGGAAAGTCACAGCCCCATCTCTCCCCCTCGTCCTGACGGACACCCCCGTCACCACTGTGGACTCCTTCCGCTTCCTCGGAACCACCATCACACAGGACCTTAGGTGGGAGCCATCCATCAGCTCCCTGCTCAAAAAGGCCCAGCAGAGCATGTACTTTCTGCGGCAGTTGAAAAAGGCCAAGCTGCCGGCCCAGATGATGGTGCAGTTTTACACGGCCATCATTGAGTCCATCCTCACCTCCTCCATCACTGTGTGGTACGCTGGAGCCACAGTGAGGGACAAAAATAGACTGCAGCGCATTGTGCGCTCCGCTGAGAAGGTGATTGGCTGCAGCCTTCCATCTCTCCAGGACCTGTACGTCTCCAGAATTCGGGGGCATGCAGGCCGGATAGCAGCTGACCCTTCTCACCCGGGACACAGACTTTTCGAGCCACTTCCCTCAGGCAGGAGGTTACAGTCCATCCAGACCAGAACCTCCCGCCATAAGAACAGCTTCTTTCCATCTGCCGTTAGACTTGTGACCAGCTTATAAATACACAACCATGTTCGTCTGCTGTACTTGACATAACGTCACGTTATCGGCCATATTACCATTACCTGCCTTTTTTATAGCTGAATGTTTTATGCTAGTTTTATTATATTTTATTCTACTTATTCTATTTTTGACATTTATTATTCATGTTATATGTAGCACATTAGTACCGAAACAAGTTCCTAGTTTGTGAACTGCTTGTTCACTGACAATGGCAATAAACCTTTTCTGATTCTGATGGGCGAACACCATTCTGTCGGATCAGTCACTTTCTCTATAATGCCCATGAGCTCCATCCTTTGGAATTACTCCTCAACTTTTTGGAGTAAAGGAATGGGAACCCGCCTTGGGGTGGCGATGCTATATGGTTGAGCACTATCTTTCAGAGTGATTTTCACCAGCTCTCCATTCAGTGTGCCTACACTTTTAGTCGTGTTTATTTCTCCAATGTGTTTAATAAATCCAAGTTTTGTTGCTACTGTACGGCTCAGGAGATTCTGACCAATGGTTTCACCACTGCCACACAAAAACAACAATCTTGTAGTCATCCACTGATGTGGGCTTTTATTTTGGCTAAAAACTGCCCCCTTGTGGCCACAACACCTCCTGGGCTCCTGAGAGTAGGGATGGGTACCTTTGGCATTTGAATCGATTCGGTACTAAATCCCGGTACCTAGGAATCGATACCAGTACTTAACGGTACCAGTTTTTGATACTTTTGAGTGTTTATTATTTTAATTATCTTTTAAAATTAAATATATATTTCTTTCAATTTTTTAACAATATTTGATAAATATCACGAATAATAACATTCAACTGTTTGTATTTTAACATTGTCCTTGTAGTTTTATAAGCTGATAAACTGAAGCAAACATCTTTACTGTGAACTAAATTTACTGTGTATCTTCATTCCTTTTGCCGTCTTTTTTCATTTGATTTTTCCTACTGGGAAGTTAGAATTTCCGAGGAGAAAGCAAACGCACCAGCTGATAATGGTGACAATGGAAGCTAACATATCAAGCTAACGTTATCTTAAACAGTTTATTTAACTGCTGGAGCAGATTAAAATGATGATGCCTCACACTTAGATCGTTGTCGCTGGTTTCATCTTCACCCAATCACCCGTCGCATTTAGTAAAGTGAAGCCAAACTTTAGAGCGTGTTCATGTTCTTCTAGTGGGACATTCGGAGTTCCGAGGAGAAAGCGAATGCACCATTAGCGAAACGGAAGCTAACATATCAAGCTAACGTTATCTTAAACATTTTATTTACCTACCAGAGCAGATGAGGATGTCTCACTTAGATCATTGTCGCTGGTTTCATCATCACCCAGTTACCCATCACATTTAGTGAAGTGGACCCAAGCGTTAGCGTGCGTTCTTTCTACCCATGCTGCTCTGTTTACAACTGGCTCGCAGCGAGCGACGACATATCGCTCTTGCGCATGCGCAGCTGTCTTGGCAAGTTCTCGTTATGAAGGACGGGTACAGAAACGAGGCACCGTTTGAAATGACGTGAATCGGTGCTCGGTCGGTACTATGGAATTCGGTCGGTACCTTAAAAAGTACCAAATTCGGTATCCATCCCTACATGAGAGTATTAGTCACTTCACTGAGTGTAGGCTTGTCCCGTGAGGTTTCAAACACCGCAAAGGAGGTTCTTCGTATGCCCTGACCGTGTAACTAAGAAACCCAACTTGAGACAAGCAGGGAGATCCACCACAACGAAAGTAATAAGCAGCGGAGTGGACCCACGTGCATTAAACCCCAGATGCCGAACAGCCACCACTATCACTATCACCTCTGACTCAGAAACCTCATTTGAAATGCCGCACATCACACCCTCAACCAAACAACCAGACCTCGACTGAGAAACCACCATATCCACCCCCAGAAATTTCTCAAGTCGCAACGTTTTCACATCTGTTACATGAACCCAGAGCGAACTTGCTTTCATCTCAGAATTGGTAAATAAAATGTGTTTATCGCACAGTTAAACTCAAACTTTAGCTTGGGACAAAAGTATCATCAACACCTCTGTCATGGACGTAACTTTCACTTTAGAAGTGGGGGAGACACGGGGGGGGGGGGGGGGGGGGGAGGGGGGGGGCTTTACAGTATGCTCTAATGGGAAACAGGCTTCAACACAAACGGTTGTTTTCCGCTTGGTCCTAGAGCTCAACCAGTGTCAATTTAATATAGCGTAATATTGTTTATGGATGATAAAAAGTGCAGGGGTCAAAGCTAGACTTTGGAAAATGTGTGTGTGTGTGTGTGTGGGGGGGGGGGGGGGACATGTCCCCCCTGTCCCCCCCAAAAATTACGTCCATGACCTCTGTTACCACATCCATCTGGCCACACTCAAACCCTCTTTTATGACACCAGAAACTCTGACTTCAGAGTCCATACGACAGCCTCTGGACTGAGGAGAGGCGGGACAGCCGGAGGAGAAACCAGATCTAGGTGGGAGAAGAACTGAAGAACTAGTGTAGGAGTGAACTGATGAATGATGAACTGATGAAAAAAGCTGAAAAGGAAACATTATTAGAGGTCATGAGGAAGTTGGTTTGTCCATGATGTAATATCCTCTGACAAAAAAAAATACACTTCTCTTGACGTTTCCTTATATTTCTGGGTTGTGGCGGTGGGTTTAGTGTAAATTAGCCATCATTGTTGTTTTAATGTTTTCTGTGTCGTGCTCAGTTTATAAACTGGGATTCACTTTCTTATTTTCACCTTTTCTATTGTTGTTCATGTCAGAATTTTGAATTCTGGGGGTGAAACAGACATCCACACCCCGTTGAGCTGAAAGTGTTTGTGAAGAAGACTTCCTCTTTCAAGAAAGAGGAAGAGTTGAAATGTTCTTAAAATACAAAGTCTGCATAATTTTACTTTAAACTGAGAAGTTCTTGCCTGGAGCTACTGCTGTTTGACTCAAACCTGAAAGAAGGTTGTTGTGGATTTATTTGATAAGAGCAAATTTTACTTCACTGTTTTCCTTTGATTTTTATGGGAACTGTGGTCTTTTTTTTCTAAACCCTAAAATTCTACAGTTTTCCATCAGCTTGTTTATCAGAGACGATGGGGTGCAGCAGGAGTCTGTTCGCAGCTCCGTCTGTGAACCTGCTGACAGTCATCATGCTGCTGAGTGTCGTATTGCTTCCAGGTCAGATGTTTGTTCCTTTCTGATCTGAAATAATTGATACTGATGCAGCAACAGGCAGCAGCTCAGATGTTTGTGTTTCATCGAGTTTCTTCAGGAGGATTTTGCTCCACATTGAGTTCTCTACATCTCTACTCTGGTCTTACAGATGTTCAGAGTCAGACTAAATGTGATAAGGCTCCACATCTCACCATTGAAGCCCCACAGAAGATTGAAGCTCTGGAAGGATCCTGTTTGCAAATCCCCTGTAGCTTTAAAAAGAAAACTGATAAAGAGGTGGACAACAGCAAAGAAATATTTGGAGTCTGGATTAAAAGTGACCCAGTGTTTGACAAAAATCCCAATAATGTGATTTTTAACAGCAGTAAAATACAAAACAGCTATAAAATGACACTTACTGGAGACCTGAGACAGAAGAACTGCACTACGGTCTTTTCTGATTTAATCAAACCTCAGTCAGACAAATACTTCTTCAGAATCGAGAACGAGTCGTTCAAGGCGACAGCTTCTTGTCATCCGGTTCAAATAACAGTTTCAGGTGAGAACTTTAGACTAAACCTGCCTTATTACTCTGGATGATGAGCTTTTTTCTTTGTCAGCTGTTTCGTGCTCCTGTCTGAAATCTTCTCCTGCTTCCACTTCTGGCTTAAAACACTAAATCTTTTGCCTGTTATGTGATGAAATCCCAGATTCTGCCCGGAAACCTAGGATACAAATCTCAGGAGATGGGCAGCAGCAGAACTCTGTGACTGTAACCTGCTCAGCTTTCACTCCCTGTCCACGCTCACCTCCTGAACTCACCTGGCATCTCCAACAAGTCTCTCACAGACTAGCAGAGAACCCAGATGGAACCTTTACAACTGAAATCCAGACGACCTTCCCTCTGTCAGACACACATGATGGACTCAACATCAGCTGTTGTGCCAGATATCCTGTTTATGACCCAGAACTCGGTAAGAGAGCAGAGACAGAAGAGGAGAGATCCTGTCAGAACATCCTAGTTCAGTTGTCACTTTGTGTGTGTCACATGTTTCTCAGATGCTTCTGAAGACACCTCAGCACCCACCAGCCCATCACGTTGGGTGTCAGCAGGTAGCTGGGTGAAGCTGAACTCAGAGGGAGTCATGACGGTAGCAGAAGGAAACATTTACAGATTCAACATCACAGAGGGCGGAGCTTATTACTGTGAGGCTGCTGAAAACAAAGGTACTCTGTTATTAGATTTTTCAGTTTCTCTCTTTAGTTTTGCAGCAGATTATCCATTCATTTGTCTCCATCCTCAAAACTTGTGATTCTTTTAAATTATTTTCGTTATCTGATAATCCGCCATCATCATTGAGTCATTTACTTTAAAATGTTACTACCTAACTTTAATCCAGTTTTTCAAATTATATTGAATATGAACAAATATCAGACATTCTGCCTTTTTTCCACATTTCTATTCATTTTTCATTTCCTTTCCCAGAAATCTCCACCCCAACCTATCAGAATGCACTAATCTCAGCGGCTGCTGTGCTCGTCTGCAGCTTCCTGGTCGTCTGTGTTTGGTGAGTCTGACATTAAACTCGTGTCTGAGATTAACGTTTTTGCAAGAATAAACTTGTCCTGTAAGTGCAGATAGAAGTTCCTGTTCTCTGCGTTACTTTCGTCAGGAGAAGCTGGATTTTAATCCGAAGTGATAATCCGTATCGTGTCATATGAATCATTTAGAATACTCTCAAATGTCTTGTAGGTTCCTCTGGAGCAGACGTCAGACTCGGGTGGGTAAACCTTTGAGTTTAGTTCTGCTCTCTGTTCCCATCATCACATTTAGTTCATGGCTTGTGTGTTTCCTTCCCAAACAGGTGAGCCAAGCAGGTGAAGACCTTGTTCTTCAATCGTTGCCAGCCAGTCAAACAGAGGGAGATGTCCATTACGAGGAAGTGAATGTCCTCATGAAGAGACATGTAGCTTCCACTGTCTCCGAGGACAACAGCAGACAGCAGCAGGAGACGGTGTACTCACAAGTCAATGTGTCCAAGTCAGAAAGCAGCTCAACACAACGTGCTGCTGGTCTAGAGGAGCTTTATGCTCAAGTGAAGAAAAACTAATCCCAACAGTGTAGAAGAGCAGAAGGACATGGAGGTGATTTATCTTCTCCTGCTGCAGGCCAGTCCAACAGTGATGGTACATACTTCTGTCTTATCTCACTTTTGCTGAAAAGGAATGATTTAAACGTTATTTCATTTATGTTTAGCCAGGAAACAAAATGCCTATAAGTTTGTTTGTACTTAGTTACTGCAGCTTATTTATTACGTTGGTTCCTAAATCGTTACGATCCACTGGTCTTCGGTTCTGTTGATGGAGCTTTTCCCTCGGCCCTTCTGTTGTTCACTCTGCACATCTGCTTCCTACTCCTTCATCTGCACCTCTGGTCAACACCCAACATCAATGTTCCTAACAGGTTTGCACAAAGTCAAATGTTCAAAGAGGAGAATAGGATAGTTTTGATTAGATTTGCTCTAAATGTTAGATACATCTAGAATGTTTACCAGTGTTACAATGCACCTTAGTGCATTGCCTATTTACTCTGTATGGCAGACACTGACAGACTATCACATACTAAGAAAGCTGTTTGAGGATGTTTATTGGTGATGGTTCACCTTCCAACACACTCATCCCTCATGCTGTGTAACAAGCTGCTTCCTCTGGGCCTCCCCGTGTCCTCCTGCTTTTGTAGTCTTGACTTCTTCACAAACAACTTGGTCCTGATCTCTACTAACATCACTCACGCCTTTTATCAAGCTTCCGCTGAAAGCATCTTGTCTCATGGCACCACAGTGTGACACGCAAACCTTTGCAGCGAGTTGTCAAGGCTGCACAAAAATGTCTTTTCCATCCCTCCATGGATGATGTCACCAGCTCATGTTGCCACAGCAGAGCTGCAAAACATCATCTAGACCTCCACACAAACTTCCTGTTAGAGCTGCCACAGTCAGGCAGATATTAGCTCCATGAAATCACACATATACAGAATCAGGATCCGTTTCTTCTCCACAGCCACTTTCATGAATTCAGTAGGTCAAATGTATTGCTGTTGTGCTTATTGCTGTATTATCACTTCCGGTTCCGGTTGAGTGAACGCTGGCGCGTCTCGCTGCCGCTGCTCGCTGGCAAACAAACTTTTTGTATTTTTTTTCTTCTTTTTCACCCTAGTCACATCCCTGTGTCGGTGAAAACTCATTTTCACCTACCTGCTCAGCTTGCGTTCTGGTTGCACATCACCACCTCCCTGCTCCACTCCATAATGTGGTCCAGCAGGATTTCTCTGTGCCTCTCACTGGCCTGGATCATCCTGTCGCTCATTCTTCTGTCCGTGGATGGCCTTCTCCAGTACTCGGCGGCGGAGCTCTTCAACCTCCGCTTTCACTACTCCGGATCTCCACCACCAGCTCTGTGCCTCTTCCCCGACATCACCTTCCAGCCTCGCCGTCGGTATATCCATCGGGGGTCCCGGCGGAACCTCCATCTCGACGGCTCCAAAGGAATACCCTCCTTCTGGTCCACGACTAGCCGGCGGCTACCCAGGAATGTCTGCCGAGCTGCCGACTCCAGCGTGTTAGCCCGGCTGGCTAGTCGGGCTAATGCTCCTGTCGCCAGGGACTTCCGCACTGCTAATTTTGGTCTTCTCAACATTCGCTCCCTCTCTGGTAAAGGACATCTCCTCCAAGATACCATCAGTGACCATAAGCTAGACTTTCTTTGTCTGAACAAAACATGGCAACAACCCAGCGATTTCTCACAACTCAATGACTGTACTCCTCCCGGATTTGTTTACCTCTCCAAACCCCGTGGGTCGGGCCGCGGCGGTGGTCTCGCGATACTCTATCGCGAGACTTGGAAGGTCCTTCCCGTAAGCCTTCCTCCTCTCACCACTCTGGAATGCCTCGCCTGTCAACTCTCCGGCCCGACCCCCACAATAATTGTCACTGTTTATCTTCCCCCCAAGTTCAGCCCTGAGTTTTTAAATGAACTCTCTGCTCTTTTATCCCATCTGTCCTCCCTTTCCCCAAATGTAATTTTACTTGGTGATTTTAATATTCATATGGACAATATGGCCCTCCCCCTCAGCAAAGACTTCTCCTCATCTTTGGACAGCCTCAGTTTTCATCAATATGCCAATTTTCCCACTCACATAAAGGTCACACCCTGGATTTAATCTGCTGCTCTGGCCTGACCCCCTCCAACTGTACAGCTGACCCGCTCCCTTTCACAGACCACTTCCTCATCTCCTTTTCTGTTCCCCTCCGTCTCTCCATCATCAAGTCACCACGTATCATTTCTTTTCGTAATATTAAGGACATTGATCTAGCCTCCCTGTCCTCCAGTTTTGCCACCTTGACCCCTAATTTGTCCTCTACTCCCGATGATCTTGTCATTCAGTACAATAACGGTCTGGTTTCTATCCTTAATTCATTTGTCCCATCAAATCCCGCTCTGTATATTTTACTCGGTCTGCTCCATGGTTCACCCCTGCCCTACGCTCCTTGAAAGCTACCAACCAGAGGCTTGAAAGACTCTACAAGAAAACCGGTCTCACCATCCATAAAGACTTATATTCTGCTCAGATTTCTCTCTACAAGGACTCCATCTCCCATGCCAAATCTCAGTATTACTCCGGTCTCATCTCGTCCAACTCCAGCAACACTAAGACATTATTTTCCATCATGAACAGCATTTTTCAGCCTCCCGACTCCTTACCCATCCATCTTTACTCTTCAGAAACCTGTAACTCTCTCCTTCAGTTTTTTAATGATAAGGTCAATAGAATCCATCTCTCTTTACCTCATTCCTCCCCTCCCTCTCCTGATTTATTTGAACCCACCATTCAGTTCTCCTCCTTTGAACATCCCCATCCCTCAGAACTAGTAGATTACATCACCAAATCCAAACCTTCCACCTGTCAACTGGACCCTATTCCAACAGTTTTAGTTAAATCGTGCCTCTCTTCTCTGCTCCCTTTTATAACAGCCATTATTCATTCCTCACTATCCTCTGGTACGGTCCCATCCCTATTCAAATCCGCTTCAGTCAGCCCTATTCTAAAAAAACCTGGTTTAGATCCCAATGATTTCAATAACCTCCGTCCCATTTCCCATCTTCCCTTCATTTCCAAAGTCCTTGAGAAAACTGTTGCATCTCAGCTCCATTCCCATCTCACCCGCAATAACCTTTATGAACAGTTTCAGTCTGGCTTCCGTCCCCACCACAGCACAGAAACAGCTCTCATCAAGATCACTAACGACCTACTCATTGCTGCTGATTCTGGTTTAATCTCTATTCTTATTCTCCTCGATCTGAGTGCGGCCTTTGACACCATTTCTCATCCCATCCTCCTTAATAGACTCTCTTCCTTAGGCATCACTCACACCCCCCTCCGCTGGTTTCAATCTTACCTTACTGGCCGCACTCAGTTCATCCAGTTAAAATCCTTTACCTCAGAACCGTCCCCAGTCAGGTCAGGTGTGCAGCAGGGCTCTGTCCTGGGGCCCCTCCTCTTCATAGTATATCTCCTCCCTATCGGCAAAATCTTCCGCAAATTCAATATCCAGTTTCACTGCTTTGAAGATGACACCCAGCTCTACATTTCCAGTAAGCCCAACACAACTCTCCCACCATCATCCCTTACACTCTGCCTCTCTGAAATCAAATCATGGTTCACCTCTAATTTCCTCAAACTCAACGGCAATAAAACTGAACTTCTTCTAGTTGGCACTAACTCCACCCTCTCAACATCTGACAGCTTTTCTTTAACTATTGACAGCGCCATAGTCTCCCCCTCACCTCACGTCAAGAGTCTGGGTGTCATTCTCGACAGCTCACTTTCTTTTCAGGCTCACATTAATAACTTAATTCAGTCAGCATACTTCCATCTACGTTCCATAAACCGTCTCCGTCCCTCACTGACCCCTCACACTGCCGCCATTCTCGTCCACAGCCTCGTCACCTCCCGTATCGACTATTGCAATTCACTTCTTTATGGTCTCCCCAACAAACTCATTCATAAACTGCAACTGGTCCAGAATTCAGCAGCCCGTATTATCACCAGAACCCCTTCCTTTCACCACATCACGCCGGTTCTCCAGCAGCTTCACTGGCTCCCAGTTAAATTCAGGTCCATCTTCAAAATTTTCCTTCATACCTTCAAAGCAATCCAGAACCTCTCTCCTCCATATATCTCAGACTTTATAAGTATTCACACCCCGTCCCGTTCACTCAGATCTTCTTCTTCCATCCATCTTGCAGTTCCTTCTGCCCGTCTCGCTACCATGGGGAGCAGAGCTTTCAGCCGCTCTGCTCCTCGACTCTGGAACTTACTTCCCCCAGACATCAGGAACGTCGACAGTTTTACCCTTTTCAAAACAAAACTCAAAACACATATGTTTAAATCTGCCTACAACCTCTGATTTTATTGAACTGTTTCTCTCTTTGTTTTTTCTTCTTTGGGTTTTATTATTGTTTTATTGTATTTCATTACGTGTTTTGTGTAAAGTGACCTTGGGTGTCCTGAAAGGCGCTTTTAAATAAAATGTATTATTATTATTATTATTATTATAAGTTGCACTTTTATTTCATTTGCATACAATGTCAATAAAGTTGAGTGTAGTACATTTATCTTTGTAAAACTATCACATGGTGTGAAAAAATATATATCATCAACAAGCTGATTTATTGATGTATATTTTTAATCTATCATCCCGTCAAAATTGAAAACTTTGACTTCCTGTTGCCTCCAGCTGTTCTGAGATGCTAACGTGAGCATGACTGTAAATAGGAACCACAACTTACATAGTAAGTCGTCGTCTTCCTCCGCTTATCCGGGTCCGGGTCGTGGGGGCAGCATCCCAACTAGGGAGCTCCTGACCGTCCTCTCCCTGGCCTTCTCCACCAGCTCCTCCGGCAGGACCCCAAGGCGTTCCCGGACCAGATTGGAGATGTAACCTCTCCAACGTGTCCTGGGTCGACCCGGGGGCCTCCTGCCGGCAGGACAGGCCCAAAACACCTCCCCAGGGAGGCGTCCAGGAGGCATCCTGACCAGATGCCCAAACCACCTCAACTGGCTCCTTTTGATCCGGAGGAGCAGCGGTTCTACTCCGAGTCCCTCCCGAATGTCCGAGCTCCTCACCCTATCTCTAAGGCTGAGCCCGGTCACCCTATGGAGGAGACTCATTTCGGCCGCTTGTATCCACAATCTTGTTCTTTCGGTCATTACCCAAAGCTCATGACCATAGGTGAGGATTGGGACGTAGATCGACCAGTAAATCGAGAGCCTGGCTTTCTGGCTCAGCTCCCTCTTCACCACGACAGATCGGCTCAGCGTCCGCATCACTGCAGATGCCGAACCAATCCACCTGTCGATCTCCCGATCCCTCCTACCCTCACTCGTGAACAAGACCCCGAGATACTTGAACTCCTCCACTTGAGGTAGGACCCCTCCCCCGAAAAGGAGTTGGCAAGCCACCCTTTTCCGGTCGAGAACCATGGTCTCAGATTTGGAGGTGCTGATCCTCATCCTAGCCGCTTCAAACTTGGCCGTGAACCTACCCAGCAAGAGCTGAAGGTCAGAGCTGGATGAAGCTAGGAGGACCACATCATCCGCAAAAAGCAGAGACGAGATTCTCCTGCCTCCAAACTCGACAGACTCCACACCACGGCTGTGCCTAGAAATTCTATCCATAAAGGTAATGAACAGAACCAGTGACAAAGGGCAGCCCTGGCAGAGTCCAACCCTCACCGGGAACAGGTCCGACTTACTACCGGCTATGCGGACAAAACTCACACTCCTCTGGTAAAGGGACTGAATGGCCCTTAACAGAAAGCCACTCACCCCATACTCCTGGAGCGTCTCCCACAGGGTGCCCCTGGGGACACGGTCATAAGCCTTCTCCAAATCCACAAAATACATGTGAATTGGTTGGGCAAACTCCCATGCCCCCTCCATCACCCTTGCAAGGGTATAGAGCTGGTCCACTGTTCCATGGCCAGGACGAAAACCACATTGCTCCTCCTCGATCTGAGATTCAACTATCTATCGGACCCTCCTCTCCAGTACCTTGGAGTAGACCTTTCCAGGGAGGAGTGTGATCCCCCTATAGTTGGAACACACCCTCAGGTCACCCTTCTTAAAGATGGGGACCACCACCCCGGTCTGCCACTCCACAGGAACTGCCCCCGATGACCACGCAATGTTGCAGAGACGTGTCAACCATTACAGCCCTACAACATCCATAGCCTTGAGATACCCAGGACGAACCTCATCCGCCCCCCGGGCTCCGCCACTGTGTAGTTGTTTGACTACCTCAGCAACGTCTACCCCTGAGATTGGACAGTCCATCCCCAGGTCTCCCGGCTCTGGTTCTTCCTCAGAATGCACGTAGGTGGGATTGAGGAGCTCCTCAAAGTATTCCTTCCACCGTCCGACTATAGCCCCAGTTGACGTGAGCAGCTCCCCATCCCCACTGTAAACAGTGTGAGCCCCAGCCAGGCTTCTCTTCCGACACTCGCGGAGTACAGACGCTTCTCCTTTTGCTCCCTTATCTATTTTCCCAAGGCTCTTTGTCCTGTCTGCCTTCAGAGCGCTTCTCTGCATTTCTTCGAAAATCCCTATTTTTTGGAAATGGACTTAATTAACTGGTCATTCAATGCGATTGATAAGATTTTTTTCTACGATGAGAACGGAGGAGGGGGCTCCCACTTGCCCT